AATAAAGGCTAGCATTGAAAGAGAAAGCAAGTAACAGATAAGCAGTTGGAACATCTTTAAAGGAAGAAGAGAATCCAAAGAAACCAGTGAATTGCAGAGTATTTTTGTTCATTCATGTTAGACCAGTGTGTCTGCTTAGTACTTAGATAAGTAAGGTTGATATAAAATAAACTACATGACATGCAGTTTCATCTAAAATTTGTATTTCTTTAAGAATACTGTAAAGAACTATAGAAGAAATTAAAGAAATCTGATTCACCATTAAAACAAACAATAAAGAAACTACCAGTATTTGATGGAGATTTCTTCTCACTAAGCCACTAAAAAAGATATTTGGTTGCCTAGCAAGATCATTCACAGTTTATAGATCATATATTACTAAATTATGCAAATATTCATCAAGCAACTTATGCAATTTTTCCCTAAATTCTTTGAGTTAACATTACGCCTACCACCCTTTGCACTTGAATTTTTGATTGATTAATCCATTTACCTACTTTGATGCAGCATCCTGTTATCAATCAAGTCTCTTTATTTTCGTATATATCATGGTTTAGTAAGTGAGATAATTGATTAAATCAGCAAGTTATTCACTAACATGTCTAAAGCAGGACTCTCATCATCAGTATTTAGTTTATGATTACATATCAAATGTAATTTAATTCATATGTAATAAAAATCAAGAATTATCTAGAATAAATGTCTAGCAACTTCTGGAGTATGTTACAATGCCAGTAAATGATGCTCCAGCAAAGAAATTTCATTGCTTAGACCTAATTTACACATTTCCTTTTGAGAAATGATTTCGGTAATTTTAATGAATTCATGCACAAGTGCACGCATGCACATGGCAGCTCTGTTGCCTTGCACGTCATTCTGTGCATGCACATGTTCGCTAAAACTCTGAAATTATTCGTCCAAAGGTAATGCAAAACCCAGGTCTAAGATAGCAAGGCAAGTACTACAGTATTTTTTCAAAGAAAGAATTGCAAATTAACAGCAAGTCGTCTTCTAAAAGATGCAATGTGTGTTATGGCCTAGGAGATAAATCCAAAAGGAAGAAAAACAGAGATGAATCTTTCTATGAATGTAAAAAAATGTGAGGCTGCACAGCATACTGCGGATTGTTCAAAATATACTTAGACGAACTCCAATTGAATGCTAAATTGTACTTCAATAGGATCTTAACCTAATGCAGAGAAAGAAGTTGAAAAATCTCAAGGAAAAACTGATTGATAAACAAAAATTGAATCTGAGTCTAGTTATCATAACCTGCAGATTGTTCATGGGAAGGGAAAAGGCATGGGGGAGCAACAAACACATAATTACCTACTCACCAAATATCACGAAAAAGAAAAATATGGACAAACCCTGGATAAATCATGATGTCAAAAAGAAAATCTGAGTCAAATGACGAGCATGGTACAGGTATAGGAAATCTGGAGCAGTAGAAGACTGAGGAATATAGGAGAATCAAACAGGCTCACTTCGAACTTGCAGATAAGGAGAGAAAAATATAAAATGCAAGTTGTACAGGACGGAGCTAAGAGATTCTACTCTTATATCCGAAAACAAACATCTTGCAAAATGGGACCACCTAAATTCATCCAGAGTAGAGGATCCACAATATCAGAACCAGTAAAAATTGCAGAGTGCTTTGCAGACTTTTGAGGTGGTGTACACCACAGAACCTGCAGATCAACTACCAAACATTGGACAAAAATATACTGAACCAATTGAAGATATTGGAATTACAAATATTGAAACATCTCAAACACTTCAAAGATTAGACAGGAAGTTCCTCGATGGGTCCTGATGGCATTCCGACAGTTTATTTGAAGATCTATGGAACACATTTAGCTCCAGTACTTAATAGATTTATCAAACAAATTTACTTCAAAACTACCGACTGCATGGAAAGAAGCCATTGTTATGCCTATCTTCAAGGGTGATAAGCAGTTACCAGAAAGTTACAGGCTGATAAGTCTGACTAGTACTGTTGGAAAAGTTATGGAGAGAATAATAGTTCAGAGACTTCGTGATCATGCTGGTAGAAATAATTTAATCCCCATACAGCAACATGGATTTGTCCTTGGTAAATCAACAACTGCGAATTTGATTAGCTCGCTTGATGTTTGGACTAAAGCAATGGATCAAGAGCAACCTATAGATGTAATGTACTTAGATTACGTGAAGCATTTGATAAAGTTCCCCACAAGCGATTAATTGCAAAATAAGAATCATTGGGGGATACAGGAAAAATTGCTCGCATGGATCCGAGAATACCTCTTGAGTAGAACATTTCGAGTGAGTATTAAAGAAGAGATGTTGACATCTTGACACGTTACAAGTGGGGTTCTGGGACCAATGCTATTTATTTATTTCGTACATGAGCGATCTGGGAAATGGACTGTCTGTGAACTGGAACAGCAATGCAGACAATTCAAATCTTTTAGCATATCCACTGACGTATTATCAGTTGACAAGACGATCTTGCCACAGAAGAAAACTGATCAAAACCTGGCTCCTTCATCTGAACGCTGACAAATGTAATGTTCATATTGGTAAGAAAAATCCAAGGCTTCCTTACACCATTGCAGGCTGTACCTTGGACACTATAGCACAACAGAATGATTTGGATGTACTTATCTGTCATGATCTAAAGAGGGGAAAGTTACGTTGCTGCTATAACCAGATGAGGAAACATGACATCATATTTGATGAGAAAGGCATTTTACAAGCTGAACTCATCCAATACAAAGAAGATTTACATGATGCAGATGAAACCTAATGTGAGTATGCCAATCTGGTATGGTCCCAACAAGGACATCAAGCACTTAGAAAAGGTACAGAAGCAAGTCACCAGGATTCCTAGAGAAGCTTGTTGAGCTAACTATCGAGCAAGATGCCAAATGAAGACTTTGTTGACACTGGAACAGAGAAGAACCAGGAGCGATATGACAGAAATGTATAAGATTCTGAATGGTTCATATAATACACCAGGGTGTGATGCTCTCTTTATGAGATCCATGGATTTCAGACTACATTAAACACATGATGAAGCTATGAAAAGAAACAAAGAGGACAGGACAGAGACAGCAATTTATTGTCAGTTGGGTTGTCAATGCATGGAATGCATTACCAGCTGACTGAGTCAGAAAGGATACCCTGAACAAATTTAGGAATAGTTTCAATACTCATAATTTTGCAAATTTCTAGTGATATATACGAACTGAGATATAAATCAATATATACTATTTCTTTTATCCCAGTATAATTAACACTTTCTTATGTATGATATGTGTATAACAGCTTGTTGCTGCAACCATTATTTAATAATAAATAATAATAATAATAATAATAATAATAATAATAATAATAATAATTGCACTTTAATAATATTTGGTTAATTGAAAATAAAACATCAGGGCACTCAAGCTAAAAAAAATGGTATCTCAGTTTCAAACAATTTTAATAATACTAATCCAATAATTGCTTCTCTGAAACTACCAAAGCTATCATCACAATCATATGCAGTTTCTCTATGTCCAAAAACAAATTAATGTAACAATTCTCTTTCAATTTGCTTACAAGAATATGCTGAGTGTTCAGAATTAGTGCATTTGCCAGTGATATTTTTAAGAATGTTAATCAATTTAATGCATTGAAAATTAGGTTATGGAAATTTGTTTTTAATTTTATGAGTTTTTGTACTTTTTTTATATGCAATTTATTTGATTTTGATGAATGAGATTTTTTAATAATATTAGGTAGAGTCTAAAGAAACATTTGGAAATTTTTCAGACAATATGCAAAAAAGTATGTATGATCATTGTTATTAATGATCGCAGTCACGAACGGAGATGTAAAAATTATTGAATTCAGATGGTATACAAATTTTGTAAAAGCCCATTTCATAGAGCACAACATCTGTTGAAAGGGTTTTGGAAGTTGTAATTTATGTCTTTCAATCAGTCAGGAAAGATGATTTCATTTTAATAAACTTTATTAAGAAAATAAAAATAAAAACTGTTCCATCTAATCCTACAAGAAATAAAATTACACATTAGTAAAATGAATGTTAATTATGTAACTAGAAAGCTAGAAACTAAAAAATACAGATCTAAACAGACAATAAACATATTTGAGCAAAAGTGTGAAGCCCTTTTGGGTCATCTTTTTTAGTCACGGCAATAAATGTAGAAATATAATAAACTAGTAAGTTGTCGATTACACAGCAATGAACTGTTACTGTCAGCAAAAAGCCCTCAGTAGTATTACTCACATTTACTGAAAATATGTTATAAAAATATCTTTCGAAGAATTCAAAATGTTCTAAAGAAAATGTTGACTTTCTGAACAAACCAAGTATAAAAAGTTATTGTTATATTGTGAAATGCACTAAACATCAAGGCAACATTTCTACAATCTTCATGTATTTGTACAAACATCTGGTTGAACTTTCAGTTGATTTGCATCAATGAATTGCAAACCATTAAGTACAATAAAGGGAACAATTTTGGAATAAATAAATACATTTTGTAACTGCAGACCTACAATTCTATAAGAAACCACAAAATAAATAAGCTACTAAAAAAATTACTTCAAATTATTTTGAGAGAATATAACACTACAGAGTAGGTACAAAAATAGTGCAAAAGTTGCAAGGTTCATTGAACAAATTACAAGAATGGAAAACAATTGGGATTTTAAATGGTTTTTCAACATAAATCAAAAACATGCACAAAATTCACGTTCTAGATGCAATCATTCTTCTTCGCAAAATTTACCACACGAAACCAAAATGAATTTGCACACCACCATTTGTTCTGCTCCTCGCCTTGCAGGTTATTTCATGCAGCAGCCTTCACCATAATTTCACTGACTTCCAAGTTCACAAAACGACACATAAATGCACTATCACCAAGCCCCAGGGGATTTGTTAAGCATATCCAGTTGGTGAAAACATGCATGTCATAACATAATGACATTGGAAATACCTTGAACGGGTCATAATAATCGGAAAATTCTGTCACCCATGGTTGAGTTGTCTCCTCGCCACTTTTAAAAATTTTTTCCCACTCATTCTGCAATTTACTCCATAACTTTTTAGAGTACTCTGCTGTATCATCACTCGATTGTTTTTCTGAAATCAGTCCTATCAGAACAGGTTATTTGAAGTAATTCAATAAAATGAAGAACATACGGAATGCTCTTGCCAGTATTCACAACGCACCTTCATCAGAGGAGATGGATGAATCGATGTCTTTCATTTCCGTCACTTTTACACCTGCAGTACTTACAAGATCATTCTCGGTTTCACTAAGAATTATGTCTTCAGTTTCTTCCCCATCGGGAACTCCTATTACTTCTCCATCTTCAATAGTTATCTTGCCTTCTCCTATTTGTTTCATAAACTTCATAAACTACAAAAGATTACGTGTTAATTATAAGATCAAGTCAATACAAATATAAAATCCACTATTAAGAAGTTAACATACCTTTGATGCATTTATATTAGGATCTTGTACGGTATTTAAAAGATGATTTGCAGTCTCTTGCAACTCACTCCCTTGATTGAGGTCATCAAAAGTTTCTGACCAATTTTCATCAACATCACTTCAACACAATAACAACAAATGAAAGCACCTTACAGAATGATTTTTAAGATTTACAGAACATTAAAAAATCATTGGAGGAATTTCAAAGAGGTTTTTCAAAAAATTAGTAGTAACAATCAAATTAAGAAAACCTGAAGTTTAGAACCAAATAGGTGTTTTTGTTCAATCCTAAAACAACTAAACTTGAAATTGCATCACTGCAAAATATCTTTCCAATAAAAAATTAAGCAGTTGATATGCAATTTTCTGTTTTAAAATAATATTAAAAATAACCAAGAAAGTAAATCAATTTATAAAAAGCATACAAGATTCTGTTGTTCTAATTATATTATTGATTCTTTCAATGTCATTTGTATGATACATTCCATAATGACTATAAAGGAGAGTTAATGAAAGATTTTAGGTAATTACATCCATTGATTCAAGTTTCAGAAATCTTGATAGACAACTGCCTGTGTGTACAGGCAACAAGTGCAGGGACTTGTTGGTACGGAGAAAAAGAGATTTTTTAAAACAGTGCAGTAAGAGGTTTCAAGGGTGTGACTATGACACTCATTGAGAAGACAGTTGACTTCAAGACAGTGATACCAATTCCCCCTCAGCTCACTGCAGATGGAAGATCACAAACTGTTCTCTGCAATTGCCTACCTCTTGTTTGTGTATACAGCTCACCCATACATATGACACCAAGCCTGATGACCAACACCCATGCATAATATAAGGTAAAACACTGGGAGGAGTGGAAGAATGTGAAAAATGTGGAAACACTGTGGAAAATTAGAAAAAATAAGCAGTGCATATCATATTTCTGTAAAACCTGCTTCTTCACCTTTTCCATACACCATTTGTTATTAATAATACATGGTAAAAAAAATCTTTTTGATTGTAAACAGTGTAAACATGGATTATCAAAATTATTTTGCAATGTTATTCAGCAATTTAAGGATAAGTTTAATCATCAACCTACAATTATTATTCATTTGTCATCCAATTTCCCTCAGTCAAAATGATCGATCGATTGATGTTTTCAGGAATGTCATCTCCTGTGGTCATTAGACCTGTTAGTGTAGTGAGATTTTTATCCCGAGAGGGATGGGAATGTTCCTCCCCTACTGGATGGGGAGAACTCGCACAGATCTACACGTCAGCTTGCAGTGTGTTTCCTTCACCAGGTATCCCCTCCAACAGGGCACTACTCCAGATGAAACAAACTTTAAGCTCCCGACAGGTGTGCCAATGTGTGGAAGTGTATGTAAAAGTGTGTGTATGTGTGTGTGTGTGTGTGTGTGTGTGAGAGAGAGAGAGAGAGAGAGGGGGGGAGAGAGAGGGGGGGGGGGAGAGGAAAGAACAAGGAAAAGGACGGAATAAATAACACATCATCTGTAGCCAGTTTATTAGGGAACTGCATCAGCATTCGCCTGATATAAATTGGAGATATTATGGTTAACTACTGATCAGAGCAGCCACCCACTAGAATCCTCCAAACAGTAGCTGAATTTGATCTAACTACCCCTGAAATCCAAGACCATCAGGAGACAAACCATAAGACCTCTTGATAAGAGTCCTGCAGAGACAGTGGCAATGCTGGCAAAAAGAAAGGCCTCAAAATAAAATTAACAAATTTGTACATATTCACAGCAGTCTCATTACAACACTAAACTTGTGCAAAGCACAAATGAAATGATACAGGAGAAACAAAATGAGTTATTCGTTTGTGCCATACAACAAGAGTAAAAAACATCCAACTGTATACCTCTTTAAAAATGTAATATGAGCTGTGAACAATAAATCAACAAAATGGAGCCTTTTTTCCACCATTTTGTTTTTCTGTAATTTGCGTAAAGCACGCAGGATACCAAGACTTACACATACCTCACATAAGCAAATCTGTGCCTAAGAGTGACAAAAATGGGATCTGGTGTGTGCCAAATAGGATTTTTACGTGCTTATAAAGCCTATGACATTCACACTGTTAAGATGAATGTGAGCATTCATCACATAAGAACATTAGTTGAATCAGTTAAAAACACATTAAACAGAGGAGTGTAACAAAACCTGATATAAATCAACAAACAATAACACATGCAAAAGGTATTTTGACCTTACAACATTATGTGATGGTTAAGTATTAACATTTATGAATGGGTTAGCCAACATGCTTCAATGTGCTTGATTCAATTAATTTCTTAACTGATCGATCACATAAATCAGATAATTTATTCTACTTAATTTGACAAACAGAACTGGCAGTTATGAAATGCAAAAAAATGTGGCATCAATAGCCAGGTTGCGTAAGGGTCAAATACAATACGGCAAATAAGTCTTAAACAAAAATAATTATTACAATGAAGGGCTGTTGTTTACTTATTGGGATCAGCGATAGAGTACACTCTTCAGTTCATGAAAACTGTTTCAACATCACAAATGTAAGTTTTTACAACTTTGCCAACAATCTAGCATTATCTATGAATTATTAAGATGTAAAATTGTAATAGAGGTTAGGTTAGGTGAGGGTGAAGCTGAAATATGGAGATAAATCAGATAATGAAAAATTAGTCTTAGTTTACCAGAATGTTGTGAACCAGACTTGGTCCTAACAATGTTCAAAGTCTGTGTGGTAGAGCGTAATGAAAATTGTTTTGTTAAAATCAAATAGTTCTGGTTTGTGATAAATATGCATTAGTTACTATGTACTGAATGACTCAAGGTTGTTTTATATTTTTGCAAAGACCAAAAGTTAGACTATCGCCACTAACTTGGTAGCGATACAAGTCAACTGGCATCTCAAATGTTGCAAGTTAATTTGGACTTCAAATAATAATGCATTAATTATAATTGGAGCTGGGAAGTTTACACAAGCGTTTAGCACTGAAACATGCACGCATATATGCCACAGAAATGTTTAAAATAAGTAGTGTTTGGTTGTAATAACTTAAAAAACATGTATTTTGCAATGGCATTCACTTCTTTTTGCCACCAAGAGCAAGGGGGAACATTCAAATTAAAAACAGATAGATACCACAGCAAATTTGCACGCTATGGCCATCGTTCTCTAAAAGCTTTTGCATGAACCTGTTTGAATCATCAAGAAACTTTACCATTTATATGAATTACTAATTTTTACCTACAAATAAATGTGTTCTTTTACGTAAAAAAATACTATTATGCAAATAAAATTTGTATGTCCAAAACTTCTAAAAAATGAAAAATATGCTCTATATGCACAATGTTTTCTATCTCAGATTCAGGATTTGACAAGAAACCAAAAGATATTCAGTATCTGACATATATCTACAGCACAACGCTGTTGCATGAGACCCTGTTATAAGTGGCCCCGACAAAACAAAATTCATGGTCCCAAGGTCAGTTGTATATAAACAATGCATTTATTTCTCGCATTCAAGACCCATTAGAAGAGATTCCTGAGATTTCCGCCTATTGTGGGCATCAAAGTGTATCGTGGCATCAAAGCAAAAAGTTTCATTGTTAGCTTCGAAGTTGGACAGTACTAAAGAAGTTGACAAGTGTACAGAGTAATCATGGAGAGCTCTGGTGCAAACCACTTTTGTTGCTCAGAAAAATTATCCAGAAGAGAGAAGAAATCCTCAAAGCTGCCAGGAAGAATGGTACCATGAAAAAAATTTGTTAGTCACCAATCAAGGAAATGGAAAAGATTCTTTTGGAGTGATTTCAACAGGGCTGAGCTGTAGGTGTCCCTGTTGACGGGAACATTTTGCAGAAGGCTCATGAAATCGCCCTGCACTTAAACATTGAAGACTTTTCTGCTTCCAATGGTTGGATCGATAGATTCAAGAAGAGACTTGATATTGTGTACAGAAATATTTGTAGAGAAAGCAATGGTGTGTGTGCAGAAAAGGTGGATGAGTGAAAAAATAATTTACCTTCCCTCATTGAAAAATATGAATCTGCATTTTTAATGCAGTTGAAACTAGCCTTTACTTTTCAGTGTTGCCAAAACATTTGCATTTACAGGCAAGACGTGCCATGGATTTACCAAAAGTAAATCAAAGTCACTAGTTATAAGGAAGTTTACGAAACCTCAATGCTTCAAAGGTATTCAGCACCTCCTCTGAGAATATAAAATATATGCCTGGATGACCTCAGAAATTTTCATTGGTTTTCTGAAGGAATTTACTGCAAGAATGGGAAGTGTTGAAAGACAAATTCCTCTTTTTATTAAAAAGGATCCAATTCATCCTCCTGATACTTCCTTCCTGAGAAACATCAATGTGGTATTTTTCCCCTCACAAGTGTACGAGTGTACTGCAACCACTTGACTTGCTACATACAGAAGTAATTTCAAACCGTTTTAAGAAGGCTGGATTCAGCCTGCATGTAAGAAGTGTTCCAGAGGATGAAGTTGATATGGACGAATGGGAAGATTTGGAAGCAGGTCTAACATTCAGACCTCTGCAAAAATCAGAATGATGGTGATGCAGATGTTAATGACGATCTTGAGAGCCCACCACTACCTTGACATAGTGAAGCAGTTGTGATGGAGTTAGAAACTTTTTGTTAAATATAGTGCCCCAGATTCTACAATGACTGCAATCAATTGTGCTGAAAGAGAATTATTGGCAGTGAGACCTTGCAGTAGGTAGAGGATTCAAACTTTCTATTTTTTTTTAAAATAATTGGTTTTAGATGACTGAGAAGATGTACAGAGAGCTGTAAACAGTTGATAATTATAAATACTAGTAGTAGTTGTAAATATTGTACATACATTCGCCTCCCAAATTCCAACCCAACGTCCATGCCATGGGAGGTGGGCAACAGAAAATTGAGTTATTTATAGAAAGCATAATAACATATACAGAAAAAATAACAACAGGTATTATCTCATCTATCTTACAACAGTATTTTGTTGTACATTGAAACTCAAAAGTTGTAACTAAATAATTAGTGTACAAATCATACTAATCCATTAAAAATATGGTAACATTTCATTAAACATGTCAAAACCCTATTTCCCACTTCAGAGTTCCTGCTTATAAAAGAAAATTCCATTCCCCAGGTGTCCCTTGGAAAGAGGTTTTGCAGACAAAAATATGCAATTACTTGAACTTCCCAGCTCTAGTTATGTTTGTTGCATGTGTTTATGAAAATGTGCTAGTTCTCTTGAGTTGGCTATTCCAATTCATGCTGGAGTAAGCCAACAAATAATCCGAAGAATATATATCAGGGTCCAGTATGAAAAAGATTATCCTAATTCTATCACTAGAATAAAATAGTTTCACCTAACCTTGCCAAAGAAATTGCAAAGGAAACTGATCGATAATATCACATTAATTTACAATGTATGATAATTTGCTCCATAATGTTTTACTATATAACAATAGAAATGTACACAAAATTCATTCACATACATGTTGCGCTGACTAGACTGCAAGTATTCTTCTGCCCACTGTGGCCCAAAACCCAATTCAAAAACTTCTGAATTATTTGCAGATTCTCCAACCTCAAGATTTGGCATGTTCCAAACTTCTGCTTCACAAGGCTCCTCCTTAGAGTAAAAACATTGAAAATTTCAACAATATTTCAATAGTACACACCAATAAATGCAATATTCAAACCAAAATTTTGAACATTCATAAGAGATTACAACTTATTATTCAATTATAATTTGACTTATAATCAATTATAAGTCAAATTATACAATCTATTGTTAACTTTAAGATATAAATCTGATCTCTCCACTGTATTATCAAAAACCAAGTAACATCCAATATTAGTAACAACTCAGAGCGTGTCCAGATTATCCCTGCACATAATGCTTAGACAGCACTCGTCACATAAAAATATTTGAAAAAAGAAAATTTCACAACTTTATCATTTAAAATTAAAATTATTGTGACATTACTGTGATGACAAAAATAAGAAACAAAAAATAAAAATAACATACAATCTGCATTATCAATTCATAAACCTTTTTCTATGGACCAACAGTGAAATCTCCATAAGTACAATAGCTTTTAAAGAAGTAATGAAAAGCCAAATTCTCATATACTCGAGACACACACAGGACAGTTATGTAATAAAAATAACCTCTCAAGCACGAAACTATATGCCCCCATGAAATCAACGTACCAAGTATTTCTTAAACCTACATATAAGATACATAGGACCCATTTCACCGAACTTGTTTAATTATCTCACTGACTCTACTTAACCATGATTAACTTAAAAGCTCATAATATAATTGCATTTCACTGTGCATCTATTTCACCATAAAATACATATACTCAGTTAATTAACAAACTTTTCATGCTAAATGAGTACTTTTGCAGAGCAATGTGGGCCAGTGATTTTCCATTTTATATTCTCTGCAACTTCAGAACTGCATTCTATCCTACGCAAAGAGGTTATAGTCAATCAATTATAACTTCTTTGATTTTACAAGCTAACTTCCTGATGCATCGTGCCACAGACGAATATTATTCGTTAATGATAGTATTGTAACGTAGTGAACAAATAAATTATTTTGAAATATCTTCTATGATTTAAAATTATGAAAAATAATAGTTTGCAAATATAAATATTCTTCAAGTATTTTAATAATAATATTTAAAATAAAAGTAATACTATCACATTTTAATTTTCAGCTAGTGAAATAGTGAACATTTTATTTACGAAAAATATGCTTTTAAATTGCAGTGGTAGGTTGGCTAACATTGTACAATTGTATTTATAAAATACCTTCTTTTGAATAAAAAACTGAAATCGAAGATTCCCCTCAACATATTCCAAAACAGTGCAGTACATTAAAATATCCTCAAATACCTTCATCATATTCATTAAAATAATCAATTCTCAAAAGAATTCTTTCATGTTTACCACAAATTAGGTTTCGCTTAAGTTCATTGTCCAATAATGCAGTTGAGGGTTTCTAACCATTGTTATATGATAAAATGAGATCTTAAATGTTGAAACAATAAGTAAAAGCAGATAACTGCAATTACCTCTCAATGAAATGAAACCCTTCAAAGCCTGTTCATGAGTTTCACTTCCACAAATCATGTTTAAAGTACATGGAGAAACACTAGAGCACCTTAAATGCAATTAATACTAAAGATATACAATGTTAAATGCAAAATCAAAGGTGGTGAAACTAGCCCATACACACATACACTTGTACGCACATGCACACACATACAAACAATGAACAAATTGTTAAATTCACATAATTTATCCTTCAGAAAACCACTAATTGAACTTGCAATCAACTCTTACAAAGTTAATTACATGACAAACTTACATCAAACTGCTTTCCTGACTCTAGATATTGTTCTGCCCAAGCCATATCTTCAGCGGCTAAGCTTGTTGGATCTGATGCAGCTAATGCAGCCACTCCAGGAGCTTGAACAGGGGCATGAAGACTGCCAGACGATTCAATTTCTCGCATTTCTTGCAATAGTGAATCCATTCGAAATGTCTGTGGTGAATTCTCACCAATAAATTGCTGAGCCCACTGAAAAGAGCAAATTCATTTTCAATTATATTACAAAATCCATGTATTATTACATCTTGAATTTCAAGTGCATTACAATACTGTAATGTTGCATTAATTTTATTCTGTTTATATTCCGAAAAATTACATAAAATCTAGATTCTGTATTCTAACTTGCATATCTAAGAAATACATAATACTTGCCTAAGTTTCTTAAATACACAAAATAACACATTTTAACAATGGTTAGCACTTACAAAATGTTTAAAAATGGACCAATCTGAATCAAAATCATTCCATTCTTAATTAATAACAAACAAATTGGTGGCTATACCATAAAACTAGGTAACAAACACAGGTGATGTAATAATTATTGGAATAATCACATCCAAAAATGTATATTCATTATTTATGAAAGTTCAGCTTAGAAAAATCAGTACAACACCTCTTTAACTAAATTTCACGACTATTAAATGAGCCCCCTTAAAGCGCAAGCATGAAACTATTTGTCATATTTTTTAAATTATTTTGACGATAGTGTTCAGCAAGTGGTTCAGCAGTGTTCAGCAAGAGTTCCGAAATTTTGGACACCAGAGTTTTTTTTCTCTGAACAATGTATTTGGCCTTGATAGTGCAACCCAAACTCATGGAACTGAAGTAGAGACTTATCTTGTGTAGATAAATATTACTTATGGATCTTTATATCCCCTCAAGAGTATTCATTGAAGCAATGTGTTAGATGTCTGGGAAAGCCACAGTTTGCTGTCGGAGTTCGGACTGTAAGTACCGGTACACCACAGTTTCTGGTTAATAGTAGTTCAGAAATGAAAAATACCTCGAACAACAGATTTTATAAAATGACAATAGTATATAAGTGAATTATTACTCTCTCAATCTATTTTTGTCACAAATTTGAAATTATTAGCAGCGTCCAAACTTTTGACCAGCAGTGTATATTACTTACCAACAGGTAGGAACACTAGTTAGTACCGGTAAATACTGTTATTAATTGCATTTCATAATTCATTGTAAAGCATATCCTTTACCGTTTCTTATAACATGGTTATAACAGGAAAATTATCAGAATCGGGACACTGAATTGACACGCACTTTACACTTTTCAATGAGTTCATTAGTGTGCCCGTGGAAATGCTTTTCAATGGTCAACACACACTCACAATGAAAAAACCATAATCTTTGCCAGTCATATGTTGTTACAGAAATAAAGACACTGCATTTTAACCCACTGGTACAATAGCAAAATTAGAAGCGAAGTGCACAATTATCAAATTGAGTATTAACAATAATACATCAGCAGAAAGCAAACGAATATCTAAAATACATACAATTCGCAACACAGTAATAATTTTCTCATTTTGAAAATAGTTAAAATTTAAAGGAATTCTACCTAGCCCGGGACACTTCCCGGACAATATTGGGTAATAATTCTGACATGCCCTTATCACAAACGCTCAACTATTTCTAGCACTTAGTGGGGACAAACAAGCATAGAAATTCATCAGCCATCTTATTCTCCTTTACACTTGCACATCAGAAGGCGAAAAACGCAAAAGGAAGGAAATTTTAATTTTGAAAACATGAAAGCTAGTGCAAATTTGCATTGTGAATCTAGAGGAATATAAGGCAGAGGAAAAAATCAGATGATAGATTTAATGATGGATAAGTTAAGAAATGCTGGATAATGTAAATTCCAGGAATGTAAAAATGATGTTTTACTGTATTTGTCAATGACCTCCGAACAGTAACACAAAACAATACAACAGTACAAAAAAACTATGTGCTGATGACCTAACATGATATTCAAAAGAAAAAAGAACCAAAGCCAGCCAAGACAACCCAGCAATTGTCAAATTAATTCCATGGATCCAACAAACTAATCATAAACACAGACCAATCACAATGTCTTTCAACAACTACCACTCAACATGCCAATAATCACCAATTTTGTCTATACAAAGCAACAGCATCACACAAACACAGACAAAATTTCTTGAAATCACCGTACAATCTAACATCAAGAGGAACTTACATCTACAAGCTATTTACTCAAAATTTAGCAATTTCAATTATGCACTTAGAATAATAAAATGAAACAGCATCACAGAAATAGACCAGTTAGTTTACTTTTCAAATATTCAATCAATTCTCAAATTCAGAATAATATATCCAAACAATAACAAATTCAAAAAGATCCGATTCCTGAAGACCTAAATTCAACTAGAGTAGCTACCAAAGCACATACTTTCTCGCATTGTATCTAAATGTTCCGCAACATTATACTACTACATAAACCAGCAAAAGTGTATTCAAATAGCAAATTATTTTTCCGCTCTGAGACAGAGTCAGATGAGTTAACGTGCCAGCACTCACACCACTATGCCACAGAAGTGCTGCATGCATCGAACTAGGGCAAAGCATAAAAATTAAATGCCCAATTCAACCTTCAACAATTAAAATATCTGTTAGAAACTCCCATTAAGATAGATCAGGGAATATCAATTTTGGGAGAAAATAGGCTGAACGGCTTAGCTGATTGCGTTGACCACAGACGGACAGACTTTTCTTGTGTTCAGAAATTTTTCAATGACTAACATATGCAATCTAATTACAGATGCTGCAGTAGGACTTGGGTAGAAGTAGAAAACCTGGCCAAAACCATCCTCCCCCATCTCCTGAAACTGTTTGGACATGCTTACTTTCCACTGGGCATAGACATCATTAATATTGTTATTATTCTTGTCATGTTGGTTGTTGGATCATAGATATTTACTTATTTATTTCTTTAATTATTAATTTTGTTTCGTTACTAAGTAGTATGTAATAACCAATCAGACTAATCATAAATAATAGTAATTGAATGAGACATTATATTATTATTATTATTATTATTATTATTATTATTTTGTCTCCTGCTCTTAGGCTGATTGTTGGCAAAGCCTCCTGACATGATATTTGGGTAGTGTAATGATCCCAGCGAATGAAAGACCCTATAGTTTAAAATCAAGCAATCTGCCATTGCCCTCACAGCATTATCATACAATAAAAATACCAATGCCTTAGGCAGGATTCAAATCTACATCCTTCAATTACATATAATTGCACCTCCAGAATAGACTCATTACTACAATAATAAAAACCAACTTTTCAATTATTAATTCCATCTTCAACATGTATTTTGATACCTTCCTCTATACTACTGAAGTACATTACAAATCACCCAATTTATAATTTTATTCACAAAACAAATAATATCATACGTATTGCAAATTGTTTCTTTAGTTAGCGACTCAATACAAGAGGTAGCACAATATCTTGCTGTAACTTAATATATTTCACAAAATGCTTCATATAATTCCTACTACGAAAATAGTGCACACGAGTATACCCGGGTGGTCTGGGCTGCCCTCCCTAAACACCACTTGATTTTTACCCTCTTCCATATAAAATACATTATAAAGTTAACTTTATGTAAATTTTTTTAACTGTTCAAAACTTATTTCCACGGCAACAATTGAACATGTTATCTAGTACTAGAAAAAAAGGTTCTATTGCAATTTTAATTATCATTTAAAGTTCTATTTGTTAGATTTTGTAATAATGATAAGTTTGATTGTGAAATTTAATGTAATTAATTTTTAATTATTTATTCGTTTTCTAAATTTAAATATATAATTTATCGATATTAATGTTACTTATGGGTAGTGCCATAAAAGGCTCCCAAGGAACAATGTTGACAAGTAGCATGGTGACTACTTCCAAGTCCCTTGGTTGACTGTGCCTAACAGATTTTCAAAACAAAGGTTTTCACTGTCATAAGTTGCCCTGTCATAATGTGACTAGCAAGACTACACACCAAAATATTACTAAACACCAGAGAGTCATCTGAAGTTTGTAAGATTCTGTAACTTAACATCAATCCTTAATCTTATTTTAATACAATTCCCTGTTACAAAATCACACACTCCAGATGATCACAGGTTATACCTGATCAGAATCTCCTCCAGCTAGTCCCTCAGTATGCGGTACACCACGGCGTAATCCATCATCACGATGTGTATGGTCGTGTACAAAATGGGAAGTGAGGCGAGATAATGCATTAGGTCGCCCACACTCCCCTTCCATAAGATCACGTAATGCCATTGTCACTGAAACATTACATGATTTAAGAACAGCAGTACTGTAGCCAATAAATTATACAGGATCACATTTTTCAGTAAGTTCACACGGCATACTGCTCAATGACAAACCAATGACAACACTGAACTACTAGCAAATTCAATATAGAAGTATGCCATTAATGATGCTAAGAATAAAATTAATTTCATTCAGAATGCTGTCAGAACTTTAAAAGGAAACCACAACAAGAAATTTAATTAATATGTAAAATCTCAATCAACAAAAATGTAGAGGACACTTTTAAAATACTTTCTCAACAATGGCAAATTCTAATAGTTGAAGAAATAAAATAGGGAGACAAAAAAATTAAAGAGTAGGGTTATAATCATTGCTGTCAATTATTTCTGCAAATTTGTCCTTATTAAACAACAGATATCTTCTATTTCCAGATAGAATATTTTTGTTCACACAAATGGCAAATGCTCATGAATATAAATAAATACATACCTAATCACACATGGCTAAAACTGTCAAAGAGCAAATGTGACTGGACTTTTAAAACAATTTAATACAACATTACATGAATGAAGCACTTCAATACACAGAAAAATGTCATAGCAGAAATGACTATATGGCAACCCAATAAATAAAAACAATTAAAGAGCACACATTTATAAATGTCTTCACAAAATATGCATCAGTATCGAGGTAGATCACAATTTCAGAAAGGACTACTACTACAATTATAAGGCATGCAAGTTGATTACACAATGGGCAGAGAATTTTACCAATACTCCGGTAAATAAACGATTATTTCTGGAACATTATAATCGAAAAATTTTGCAACATTAACGACACCGGTCAGGCAATTTTTACGATATAAAAACATTGCGAACATTGTGCTTCCACACACTTTCCTCAGAGCACTCAGAAAACAATAAGTTTTTTTTAAAGAATATTACCTGAGTTAAGTCATTCAAATCTGCTAATGTCATCACTCCAACATGCTTCAGGTTTTTAATGACGGTGACATTAACTACAGACAGCAAAATCATTTAATTTCTGCATTGTCAACAAGTGAACTGATAAGTAAAACAGTTGCCATGGTGTTACCAGACTAATATTATTTGCTAGCATCTCATTTCGCTCAGTCGATGACCGCACGAACTGCTTGCAGCTCGTATAAGTCTAGCCGTTTCCTATCGTATCATTCGTCTTCAAGGTCTTCGAGCTCCGACCGCTCCGATGAACGTGTGATTCTGCTCAGGATAGGCATCGACATTCACTTCCTATTGAAATAGGCCTTCATCGATGGTAACAAAACCATTCACGCAGTTATTTGCCTTGAGCATGCGTTTCTGTAACAGGCCTATCTTGTGTTCCCTTCCAATACGCGCGTAATATTAAGGAAAACATTAGAATTTAATTTTAGGGGAATAGCGCCGAGATGAGGGAGCGTTTCAACATGAAAACAGCATGTCTACGTGACTGCGTTAACAACGCGAACTACAAAACAAATGAGAACGTTATTGCAATGTTTAAAACTTCATAAGGGTCGCCACACGTAAAAGAAAATAACATTTTATTCGCCGAGCAGTAATTTAGTTACCTAAAGTGAATAATAATGATAAGCTACAAATTATGTAATAAAAGGGAAGAAAAGCATCTGAGAATTTTGGTGTTTTTGTGTCTTTTTAAATTTTAACAGAATTTTATAGCATTTATAATAAACGTAATTTAACTGTCCCGCCAAACGTGGAGCTACCCAACCTGAGACTGGGAGAACTCTTTGTTTAGCGGGCTATATAAAACACGAGTAGCATCTTGACAGGACTTCCATTAAATTTTATCGTAACATTTCATTTAAAGCACTCAATATTTTAGCATAGCCCAAAACTTAATACGTTCTTGTGTATTTATAATTGAATATTTGTTTCGTTTTGATACAATCTCGGGATAGTTAACCCATTAAGAGCTGCAACTCTCTGAGCAGGGAAAAGACGGTAATTTTACTTTTATGGATTTAAAATGATGATCTATGGTAATATTTGAAAAAAGGAACAAGAAGCAATATTTTCTAGTCGAGAAAAAATGCGTCCTATTTTTGGGACTATGGGTCCGACAACTCCGATGAACATGTGATTCTGCTCAGGATAGGCATCGACATTCACTTCCTATTGAAGTAGGCCTTCATCAATGGTAACAAAATCATTCATACAGTTATTTGCCTTGAGCATGCATTTCTGTAATAGGCATATCTTGTATTCCCTTCCAAAACAAATAATAAGGAAACATTAGAATTTAATTTTAGGGAAATAGCGCCGAGATGAGGGCTACACCGATTATAATTATTACTAATGAGAGATTATACCTGTAACAAGAATATTATTGTAAAAATTAATCAAATGAACCTTGTTAAAGCTTAATAAGTATTAAAATATTTTATTTTATGTATACAAAATTAAATTGATGCTTATTCATATAATTTTAAATTTTTTGGACTTAGCAAACTGTCACTTGAAGTCAGCGTGTCATACACTTCTCAGCATTCTCACAGTCTTTTAGTTTACACTTCATGCTCCATGCAACTTTGCTGGGTAATTACTAATTGGCACTAAAAAATTATTTTCTATATCAAACCTCACACAGTTCTGGCTCAAAATTTTTTGGACATACTTCTCTTTTGCCAGCTCTTCTGGGTGTAGAATCTGCTTTGAAAGGTAGGAGAGAAGTATTTTGTTCTGTTCATCCAGTGAATGTACTTCACTGATGTTCAATTCAAAATAGACATTAGTGTTCTCAACAGGAACATCTAAAAATTGTTTAAACAAAGATCAGTAACATCTTTTGATCTACTCATGTTTTGTAGAGTTCAACTCACTTATGAACTTCACTCATGATCTTATTGTTTTCTGCAATCAACACCATTTTTTTCTCTTTTTGATAAATTATTTTCACATTGACTGCAAAATTAATCTAGAGCTCTGACAAAGAAAATAATATAAATATTTAAAACAGCTTTTTGAGGAAATGCTATAAGAGTCGCACTATTTATCCCCTGGATCTGCCAGTGGTAGTAGGCAGTCCAGAAAAGCTGAATGTTGAGAAATGTAATAGAGGGTTCAAAAATATTTAATTTCGTAGATTACAGCATGAAAAATATATTTGCATTGTTGTGATCTGGATGTAGATCTTTGGGTATTGTGGGCTTTCATGTGTGCCAGCCTGCCTTTTTGGTAGCATTATAATTAAAATTCTATGGATTGTTTCACACATTGCATCTTTATTCAAGTACAGGAACTGCAATCACTATATAAAATTTCATTTGTATGCCATTCCTTAATTTTTTCTTAAGATTTCTTTGGATTGCTTGAAATTAATTGAAATTATTCTGGATGTCATTGTTATTGCAAAAAGAGATGTTCTTCCCAAGGTAATTAAAATCTGACATGTGGTCTAATATAGAATTTGTTACAACTATTTTACACCTCATATGATACTTATCTACAAAAGCCATAACTTTACAGATCTGAGAAAATATCCTGAACTCATAATTCTGAAATATATATTGAAAGATGTAGATGTCTATATATTAATTTGAATGGAAATATTGAAGGTTTGAGTTATTTATTAGAATATGATTTATTATCAAATGGTTTAATTATATTAAGATTTTGGATTTGTGGTTTGATAATTATGATAAGAATTTCAGTTTACCAATATAAGTATTACAGGAATTTATTTATTTTTATGATTATTTTTTTAATACTAATATTGTTATGTGCTTTTTCGAAAACATTCTGCAGTCTGTCCTCTGAATCTTCCAAATTTCAGCAAATGAAATTGTTCTTAAGTCTTTTCTACTAATGCTTTCATTTGATATAGATCTCCAACATTTCCTTATGGCATTGTAAATATGTAAACTAAAGGGGAACAGTGGATAGTCTTCTTTTACTCCCCTATTTATTACTGCTTGATTTCTGCCAATTCCATTTCCTAAGCCAAACACATATTTTATTATCACTATTCAAGCTCTTCGTAACTTTTATCACATGGTTTGCAATTTCCAGTATCTTAAGAATTCCCACAGTTTTGTCATGGGCACAAATTCAGTAGCTTTTGTGTAATCAACAAATATAATGCAGGTAGAGATATTGAATTCCCTAAGTTTCTGAATCAGGTGTTCCATTATGCAGATACAATCTGCACATGATCGCCCCTCCTAAAATGATATTAATTTACTTCCAACATGGCTTCATTTACAACATTTATCATTCACAGGACTTATTCCCATGTAGTTATCACAATCCTCTCACTCACCTTTCTTGAAAAGGGGGATATCATGCTCACTTTCCATTCTTCTGGTACTTTGTATGAAGTCTACCATATATTTAATAGATTCAGAAATTTGTCCTTCATTTCTATTGATGCATATTTAAAAAGATTTATATTGATTCTATCTGTGCAAGGCATTTTCTTGTTCTTGAAACCTTCCAATCCTGGTTGTAGTTTTGGGGTAAATTAGGTCTACATGTGATTATTCAGCCTCTTCTTGATCTAAGTTTCAGTTTTACATTTGGATTGGTTCATAAGTTCTTATAGTAGGTTAACCATTCTTCTTAACTTATAATGAAAATGTAAGCGGTGTCACTTTCTTCTGTGTTTAAGTGTTTCATTATTTTGTAAGCTGTATTATATGCTTTGGGTACATCATTTTCTGTGTCTGAGATGTACACCCCCCAAGAACTCCCCAGGCACCTTTCATTTAGCAACCTGTGGTTGTAACACACTGAAATGTGTCAGAGGGCTTTATAGTCTTAATTATGTAATGTAAAATTTAAAACATAATAATTTATGTTTTTTATATTGAGGAGTGTAAGACTGTTATTTGTTTAAACAAAAGTGTTTTTGTTTTTGTCAGTTTTATTATACTACTTGCAGGCACGGATCCACAGGGAGGGAAATGAGGGAATTTGGGAGTTCCTGTCCCAAAATTTTTCAGGAACTATTTATTTTAACTTGTCATGATACGTTCAAACAAAAATATTTTCATATAAACATTAAAACAAATAAAATTGTATCGCAACACGAGTTGAGTTCATCCTGCATCATTCCACATAATCTGTAACATGACACGTTCAATGAAAACATTTTGAATAAATACACTTCCCTCCCCACAAATTCGTCTTTAGATTCATCCCTGCTACTTGTCAAGGATTTGGTTATCTGTAATGAGTGATGAAAATATCAGATTGTCATGTAAAATGTTAGAATAAATAATTCTTTAAAGTACTAATGAGAAATTATATTTATCGTTATGAGTAATAAATTACTGTACTTTCTTAATCATATTATTGATAAATACATAACTAACCACAGCAATTGTACTTTCACTTTAACAATAGAATCACATACCCACTAAATTTAATATATAGGAAGTATTGTATTCTGAAGTCATTGCTTTTAATCTTGTATTTCATATTCGTGATTGTTTTGTAACAGCAAATGATCGAGCGAGAAAAAAGTTCAAATGACCAATAGCATAATGTGTGAATATTTATTAAGTTTATATTATTGGAACATTTTTATTTCTATTCTATTTGGATAAACTATGGTAAACTTTGAGTATATTTAATTTTGATATTTTATATAAAAAAGAAAAATTGTTTGTAGTAAGAAAAGAAAATTACTATTCATATGATTATTTTTAATTTTACTCACCATATTTCATAAAGCCATTTTTAAGCGCTTTTTGACATTTTGATTTTATGATTCTTCATTAGGGAAACCGAACTATTTGTAGAGTGGTTTATTATTCACATTTCGAAAATATGTACCAATTTTTACATTACAGCGTGGCATTTTAAACTACAACTTTCTAATGCATAATAACATAACTGATTATTGCAAGCTGAGGTCCCTGCCATCGAGGTACGTTTCAAATGCAGCGTCGTTATCAGTGTGCATGAGTCACTGCGTGACATAAACCTTCGGGGTCACCATCGAAATGTCTCGTGCGCTTGTTGGATAGCACCCACCTTATTAAAGAAAAAAGTCGTTTCAAGGGGAGAAAAGATGACACATCATCGTATTCCTTTCATTATTAGCAATATATAATTCTTTTGCCGTTTTGGCCTCAGCAGCAAAGATTCCCGTGGCAACTTTTTTTTTTCTTTCTTTTTTTTCCAACTTCGTCACGTGTAACTTTGTCACCGTATTATATCACCGTAACTTTGTGCTTATTTCCAAGACTCCAAGCGAAGTTGAAGGCTTGGGCCATTAGCATCATTCGCAAACAGCGAGTGCACTGCAATTCTGAGGCCCGCCAGGTGAATCGGCGCGATCGCTAGCCAGCGCACGAGACATTTTATTTCGCGGTCGTGAAACTATGTACCCAAGTCCGGAAAGTCACAAATTTATGTTTTTCGTCGTTTGAATTATTGAAAACAGTTTTTTTTCAATAATAACTCATCCTTGGCGCTTAACTCCTTAAAA